TAACCCCGGAGCGAGGGGAGCGCCTGACCATGGCGGATGGGCAGCTCAAAGGCAGAAGCTGCTTCACCTGATGGCTTCGGGGAGGGAGAGGCAGAATGCAAAATATTCTAAGCGGATCTTAACAAAACCACTGAGTTTTGGCTCCTTCGTTTTGTGAAATCCATGGCCCGGCCGGCACTGATTTCCACACCCTGGTGGGCTTCCATCAGCTTGACCAGCTGAACCCAAAAGAACCAAAATGGTGGAGGGATAACATGTGTGGGAAAAGGTTTTCATAAATTAGGACTCACCAATGTGAGGAAAATGACCCAATAGGCGCTGCAGTGTGGATTTCTTTGCCACAGGTCCTGGCTGGGCACTCTCCACATGAACTGTCTTGGTTCATTTAACTCACTAACCAGGAAAGGAAGGTGGCTGCACTCTGGACCCTGCTCACACAACAAGCTGTTCTGGTTTCAGCTGCCAGCGGCTCTCTCTGCCGTTTCCCATATTGTGGGCCAATCCATAAGTGCCCTTCTACAGCATTTATGGCAATCAAAGCACTAGACCATAAAGAGTTTCCACTTATTAGCCAAACTCAGGGAGATGCCTGCAGGCTCCTTGTCTTTTCCATTTCTTAGGTGAAGAGCTGAGATCACCATCATTTCATCCACTAAAGTAGCTGTTTTGGAGAAAACCTCTCATTGTGCTGAACTGGATAAACTACTTGACTGATTTTAAACCAACTTACATAATTTACACCAGGGATTTATGCTAATAAAAAAACCAGAGTCGATTATATATTATAAGTTATGGACTATCAGGTCTTTATTTTGCTTCTAAATTTGTCACAGTGACAGAATCCCCACAGGGCTGTGTCAGAACTCGTGCCACCGTATAAAAAGATCAGACTGACATAGCTTTCAAGATTAATTTTATTTACACTTACAACCCTACTTTAAAAAAAAGTTTGCTGTTTTCTTATTTTTTTCTTTTAATTACACATTGCTCATTTTATAGAAAGAAAAATTAATGGATCTAACTAAATTGTAAGGAAGTAGCAAAGATCTAATTTTTTAAAATTTTTTTGTCATAGAAAATTCAGCCTGTTCTTTGGATAAATTGTCTGTCTGTTTAAAATATTTATTGTTATTGAGGGAGGAGAGGGGAAGCAGTAGAAGCTTAGTATTATTTGAAATATTTTCCACAGCTTTTTTTAAAAGTTATCATGCCTGGTTTCTATGGGGAAAAGTGTTGTGGAAAATATATACAGCAAAATTTCAACAGAGCAATCTAAGTAGTGAACAACTCTATATGGAGAAGGATGAGAAAATGCCAGACCTCAGAGTTCATCTCTATAAAAGGTGTAGAAATCCACAGGCCTTGAATAGGGATTTACAAAGTTTCTGACCTTTGAGGGACAACGGCACCGTGGTGGAGTCAGAGGCACCAAATATGATGCTACCATTTGCCTGGGTAGCTCTTGATCTTGGCAAAAGTTAGACCCTGCACACAACACAAATTTTCAGATCTCCATGTTTACCTGTTCTGTTTGACAAAAGCTGTTTTACTAAAACAAACAAACAAACAAACAAAACAACCCCACAACAAACCACCAACACAGGCAACCAAACACTTGTGGTTTGCATTACACTATTTTTTTCCTTCAAAAACCCACAAAGTCTGAGAGCTATTCCTTTCATATTGAAGGGCTTTTCAAGGCTGTCAAGGATAATGCAAGATCTCCACATCATCTGAGAGCAGAGGAGCTGTATTATAAATATCATAAAGTAAACCTTATGTACTACAATTTAGATTTTACCAAACCCATAGACCCACTTGTACTATAAATTACAATGATATTGTAGATTTTACATCTGTGTTCGTGTGTGAGGAACTGAAGAAAAAGGGATTGTTTTTGTTTTAAATAATCACAGAATCATGAAGGTTGGAAAAGGCCTCCAGGGACATCAGGTCCAACCTGTGACCAGTCCCTACCTTGTCACGCAGCCCAGAGCACTGAGTGCCAGCCACATTCAGCTGTTCCTTGGACACCTTCAGGGATGGGGACTCCCTCCTCTAGGCCATAATGGATTTGAGTCCTCTAGGTTGACACTGGACAATTCAGACCATTCTTTTGCATTGCCCAGAAAATCTTCATTATTTCTAACCCAGCAAACCCATCCATCAGATTTTAAACCTTCTGCAACCAAATCAGAAATAATGTGGGATCAGGTTCATTTTCTCCCATTAAACTCAACAAGGCACCTACATTGTTCAGTCCCATTTACAAATGTTGGCTTTTAGACATGGAGTAGTCAGAAATAATTTTAGGTGTTTAATTTCAGAATGAATGCCTGAAAGGGGCATTAGATACTAAACACAGTGGATTAAATGGCAGATGCTTGACTGCTTGTGTGTCTGCCTGCTACTAGGCTCCCTATATAGTATTTAGAGAGAAAAATACATTTTCAGATGATTATTCTTTTCATTCTAAACCAGATATAGAAGACAGTGGGAACTAATTCCACCCTGGACATGACTATCTCATCCCCTGGAGAATGACAGTGTCTATATGGTTAAAGTTTTGAAAACTTTACCTGTATCTTTCTCTTTTTTTTCTTCTTTTGAGGTATGGAAATAAATGTTCAGCCTGAAATATTTTTTGCATGTATATTTTAAAAGGGCAATAACCATGACAAGTGTCTCCTAGAGGCCATCCCCACCATTTTTACTACACCTGGCAGAACCCACACAGAACGTCTCCCACATGCCTTTCCATCTCTCATTGTAATTCTGTAAGTTTTCCTATTTGAGACCTGCCAGATTCGATGCTGGGAAAAATGTATAGCATAAGGAAAAACTAATCATCAAAACTATTAGAAACCTCTTTGATAGGAAAAGATGAAATTCATTTGCCTATACTAACCCTGAAATCTGACATGTGTTCCATACAAAATATAATTTGCTTTTTTTCTGCTATTTGTTCCATACAGAATGCATTCTTTAAAAATCCACTACCTTAAGAGGATGTATTTAATCCTTAAGAAGATTCATATCTTTTTTTGCAGGCAAGATATGCAGTGCAGTGCCTTGCTTTTAGAGAAACATTCAACCATAAAGGGTCCCACATCTGCTTTTTATCTAAATCCTCATCCTCTGGTCTCTGAAGCTGCATATCTGTAAGCTGGAAGCTTCTTAACAAATCTCTGTTCAGACTTCTGGGAACAGAAAAGAACTTCTGTTCAGATTCATTTCCATAAAAAGAAGAAACCCCAAATACATTTAAAATCATTATGATCACACTTTATGTTGTATTTCAGTTAATGATTGGTCATCCAGGTAATTCAACTGCTGCAGATTAAGTTCAGGATTAAGTTGAGGATTTAATACACTCTGCCCTGTCCTTTGTATTATTTGCTACCCCTGTATTTAGCACAAAATACTGATGTCCTGGATCTCAGATCTTTTCTCCTTTTCTTCTACCTGATGCCATCTGCTACCCTTGCTGGAAATCAGGGAATGGTAATGTAAATCTAAAGTCCATTTTATAGTGCACAGAACTTTATTAAATGTCACTTTACATGGATTAAAATTGGGAATAAAAATTAAGTTAAAATTACTCATTTAGAGTAGTAGGGCCCAGCAGTGGAAGACAGTGCCCTAGCAGAAAACAAATTTGAAAACAAATTAAAACTTCCTAAATTATCCAGCAATCAGCATACTAGAGAAACTTTATGTCACAAGGAATGTTGCAGCCAAAGCACTTTCTGAAGCTCCTGGGTAAGGTTTATCTAAGGTACTTGTGTTATACCTCATCACAGGCCTGTGACACCAGTCTGACAGCATGGTCAGGGTTCATATAGGTAAAGAAAAAATGGGATAAATTCTTACAACACAATTGGTTCAGGTCCAAGACAACCACAATACCATATGGTACAGAAATTATAGAACATTAAACTGCCTTTGTGGTGAAAACAGCAGTTCCTGGGGAACAGTAGCAGCAAAACACCTCCCTGAAGTGCACAGTGATTCCAGGCAGACTCTTGGTACACAGCATAAGATTTATTAATGTGACTTTAGGGACATTTACATCAAATTTGCTGTAATAAAGCAAAAGGTCTGAGAAATGTTAAAGGAAATTAAACAGACTTTCATCATTGTTCACTTTCTTTTACATCTTGTCACTGTAGCAGCAGTGACAAGCAGCACCATCTCATTTCAAGTGGCCCAATGGGTTCTTTTGCATCTTTGCATAAGAAATGCTGGCACACCAAGGCAATCTGGCCGCCATCAAAATAATATGACCAAAACCACCCTAGCCAAATCTTCACTTTTTGAATTGGTATGTAAATGGACTGCACTCAACTATTCTGCTGAACTGATTCTTCCCTGCTCCCAGTCATCTCAGGAAGACCCCGCTGGTCTATGTGCAATGCTGTGTGTAAGCATTCTCACTCTAGCTGCAATTAAAAATGAACCCCATCTGTACAATCCAGACCCAAATCTGGTCTGTAGATGCAGCATCATCCAGCAGTTGCTTCAAATTAAAGGGTTTTATCTACAATGAGACTGATTTTGTGAGCCAACTTGCATAAACTGACTGCAAGATGGGGCTGAGGGATGTCTGAGAGAAGTTGAACGCAACTGGGTTTAAATTTGAACCATAAGGAAACAGCCACTAGTGGTAAGAATCACAGACATATGACACGTTGTGCCTGAACAGATTCAATTATATCCTCAGCAGGTCA